TTATAAAATACCAGGTTCCTAATGTGAATAATTATATCTCAATTTTACTGGAGAAATCTTGAGAATTTTTTTTAATTTTCCAAACCCAATTTCCTTGAAAAGTCGTCAATAAGTTTAACCAATTGAACCCGCCCAATGTCTGTAATCACTTCCCAATTGCTCCTAGCATATTTTATTTAAAAATATTGGAGATAATGAGGAGAGTTTTTAATACCACCTATAATCAAAAGAAATTTTATGGAATTTTGAATTTATAATAAATATAATGAATAAAATTAAATTCTTTGAAAATTTAAAGAAATGAGGAAAGTTAATTAAAATAACATATTTCAACTTCCCATTTTTAATTGTGCTATTTAAGTGTAAAAATGTTTTTTTTTTCTCCTAACTTCATTGTTTATGTTCTCATACTGTGAATACAATTCACAATAATTTAGTTTGATAGAAGCCTTGAGAAACAGCTGATCGTACAGACTGACATTATCTACAGACCATGGCACAATAAATAGGTAGTCCATTTAGCGCAGCTGATGACTCGATTAACTGTCAAAGTGCGTAATTTCTACATGAATTCGATGTGCAATGTTGCCAATCATGTGAAATATTATAAGGACAGATTTGACAGAGGGTCGAGACAAAAACAATGGTTTTTGTTTTGATAAATCATTTTATTATTGCATCATGGACTGCCGTTATCTATAGACCTTATGGAGACTTTTCTATGTTAAGTATCATGGTACAATAAATAGGTAGTTCATTTAGCGCAGCTGACTATTCGATTAACTGTCAAAGTGCGTTGTTTCTACTTGAATTTAATGTGCAATGTTGCCAACTATTAGAAATATTACTAGATAAAATTTGACAGATGTACGGGTAAAAAACAGATGTTTTTGTTCTGACCCACGGCATAACAATACAAGGTAGTCTCATTTGAGAAATTGGCAGCACTTCTTAACATGGAATTCATAATACAATTTCAAATAAAATGAAAAATAAATTCCATACAATGTTACGCATGGCGATTGGCAAATTTTCAACAAATTAAAAAAAATATATTTTTTTTCTAAAGCTCCACATAGTTCTCAAGATTTAACTAAGAATGTCGTAATTTATATTTATAGGATTTATAGGCAGGAAACTTAAAAATATTAATAAACATAAATGATTTAAATATTTTTTGCCACTGGACACAAGATTTGCGTACATTTCAAAGGAAGATATTTTCGTATTTAAATTTTTGAAAGCTGAATGTTGTCAAAAGCAAATTTATGAGAAAATTGGTATGAGACTACCTTGTATAGTTATGTCATGGTTCTGTCCATGATGCAATAATTAGGTGATGTATCAAAACAAAAACATTTGGTTTTGTTTCGTCTATCTGTCAATTTTTCTCATATAATATTTCATATGGTTGGCAACATTACACATCAAATTCAAGTAGAAATTACCCACTTTGACAGTTATTCATGATGCAATAATAAGGTGATGTATCAAAACAAAAACCTTTGTTTTTGTCTCGACCATCTGTCAATTTTTTTCCATATAATATTTCACATGGTTGGCAACACTGCACATCGAATTCAAATAGAAATTATCCATTTTGACAGTTAATCAAGACATCAGCTGCTCTAAATGGACTTCCATTGTACCATGCAGTTAATCAAGTCATCATCAGCTGCGCTAAATGGATGGATGGATTATTGTGCCATGGTTCTGTCCAAAGGCATTGCAACATAGGCGAAACCAAAAAATCAATTAAAACAACTTGGGTATTTCCTAAAGATATTAGTTTTCTTCACTTCTCTTGAAAATGGTTTCCCCAGAAATAACATAAAATTCCCTTTTTTCCCCATTTTTTTTTTTTTTTGAGGAAAGTTGCTTATTCTTTTACCCCAATTTCCAAAACTTTTTAAATTTTTCCAGTTTTTTTTTTAATATGGTCTGTTCCTGTACTGCAAGAATCTGCTACTTTTTACTACGATAACGAATTTTCCTTTATGATAGAAATAGTAAAATCGAGTAGATTCTTGCAGTACGGGAACAGACCAATATTCTATACCATTTCTTTTACCATAATTAAAAAGTTAAAATCACCCAAGGTGTATTTAATAAGGTGTATGCATCAGATACAACAACAAATATTTTACAAAAACAACATTGTTGTTATAGAAATTAAATTGTCATGCTGACAATAATTTTTTGACAAAAATAAACAAAAACAATTTTTAATTTATGTTTGTCAAGCTATTCTTTGAGGAATAATTAATGAATTTGTGTATTCTTGGGTTATTAGCGGTTTTAGGTCAAAAAATAAAGTTTAAGACCAACTAATAAATTTTACCTTTCCCACATGCAGCCCATGGCTCCTTGTAGTGTTGTTAATCCCCAAAAATTAAAATCTATTTTTTTTTTGGAGTGGCTTCAAATTTTGCCTAATTAAGAAAATTCTAAATCCCCGGCCAAAGATAAAAAAAAGTTAAAATCTTTCCATAAGCGTATTTAAACACCGCCTAGGATTGTGACAAGCACCAAGGGGCCGATTCCAATATAGGCTAACATAATCTCCTCGATTTTATGAGTAGCTGGGATTTATGGACAGATTTCCTCACAACATAAAATATGTGGACCAATCGGCGAACGGGGTTATAACTGATTTAATCCTAGGTTTCCGTTCCGCCCACCTCTATGAATGTAGTTTTCTTCAACTTTTTTATTAAAAAAGCCTAAATTTAAAGACCATTATTGAAATCGAAATGTTTTTGACAATGTACTTTACAAACAAAAAAGAAAAAGGTTTGAAACCATATGATTATCACTTACACCTTATTAAATACATCTTGAAATCAGTGCTGTTAAAACACAAACAAATATTTTCAAAGATCATTTACCGTGTGTTTTTTCGAATTTATAATAAAATGGAAGAAAAAGCGGCTTGGCGAAATAAATTTTATAATTTTTTGTTTATTATCAAATTTTCTAAATTGAATATGAGTTGCCATATTTTATGTAAAAAAATATTTTGTTAGAAAATGAAAACAAATTGAAATTGGTTGCCGCCGGCGAAAAAGTATGCCGCTGACTCATGACTCTCTGGATGTGTTTAGATCTAAGATTAAAATCCCCCAATTTAATTAACCTAAATTGTTGTAGGATTAAGAAATTAAGAAACGCTGCAAAATGTCTCCGTTAAAATCATTAATTTTCCAAATTTCAAAAATCCCCAAATTTTCTAATTTCCCTAGTTTATTTAAAAAAAAAATATCTTAAAATTTGTTGTTATTTTTAATCGGTAGTAGGAGATTTTTGAGCATTAAAAAATCCCCATATTTGCATATTTTAAGGTTTCTCAATACAAATCAGAAACAGTTCTGAGGTCCCTCTTTAAAAGTCATTAGAAAAATATCTTCATTTCCCCGTAAGGGGATTTTTAGGTCTAATTAAACTAACACGGCCATTTTCTTTTTTAAGGGGTAATTTAAAATCCTAGTTGTTTTCACAAAAAGCTTTCCCGCTTTTTGCAATACTCCCCATAAAATTTCAATTTCCTCACATTAGGGAATATCTTGGTAGTTTTTTTTAAGATTTTCGGGCTTTTCTGGATCTATATATATATATATATATGTGGCAAAAATCGGGAAAATGTTGGGACCATTTTTTTTTTAAGATTTTTGAAATTTTCAGGATCTGTGGAGATATGGGAAAAATAAATGGGATTTGTTTGGCAAACATAAACGAAAATTTATAAGAAGGATATATTTAGGGAATTGATGGGGAAATTGGATGGGATTTTTATTAAGGAGTTTGTGTTAACTATTTACTAAAGTCGTAGTATCTTCTGTTGTTGTTTTTGTTGTTATTTCTAAATTTCTATATGTGTGTTATTTGTTGTTGTGTTTTTTGTTGTTTTTTTGTTTTCTTATAATTATTTTCTACATGCGCATCCACATTGTTTTAGCATTGTCGCACGCACACATCCTCAACACACAGATACACACACGCACGCACACACTCACGCACACATGCACCGCTTAACCATCCACCATCGATAGCTAGAAGATGATGAAATAACCTCTTCCTATTTAGAAAACGATTTACAATTGGCCAATTTCGATAGGGTACTACTTGAATTGCTGTTACACACCCTCTCCCGTTTCCTTGTGAATTTATTGCTACATGAGGTATTCGATGATGCGGCCGAAACGGAGGTGGGCACCGAAGCCGATGCGGTCATAAACGATGTTGTTGCATCGGTGGTCATGGTGCCGGGCGGTGAAAAGGAAAACGATTGCGGCAAAGCGGTATAAATCGATAGAGACGAGGTTGATGCCGAACTGGTGGTGGTGGTGGCGGGAGCGGCCGTTGTTGCTGCCATGGATTGCGGAGGTGGTGGTGTTTGTGATTCGGCCAACGAATCAGGGGTATTGGCATTCGTTTCAGCATCTTCAGCAATAACCGTTTCAATGATACGTAACGGTTCCCCGGCAATGGAGTGGCCGGCAGATGGCGTTTGCTGGCTACCATAGTTTACGCTGTAAAATTCGTCAGGATGTGGCAAGATGGCCGGCACGGGCATTTGTATAACCTGATGTTGCAGATCTTGCTGCTGCTGCTGCTGCTGATGCAAATCTTGTTGCTGCTGCTGTTGCATGACTTGTAACTGGCGCAAACATTCTGGTGTCAGCGAAGCAGCCGCCGAGGAATTCCGCTTGAAATTTGGACTACGTATGGTGGTATTGTTAACGCTGTGTTTACTGGTCCTGAACTTGTTGATATTATAGCTCTGACTGGTGTAATTCAGATTCAGCATTTCAATGTCCACAATGGCGGCTATGGAGGTCCTTCGTCGGGTATTGGTCACAGGTGGCGCTGGCAGCAGCGTCGAGGCAACACTGCTGATGCTGGTGGCATGACCTTTGGCCGTTTGGTGGTGGTGTTGCTGCCCCGGCTGCTGATGTTGCTGCTGCTGCTGATGATGATTGGCGTTTGCGTTGACGTTGGCGGTGTGAGCGTTGGCATTGCTACAACTAGTTGTGGAGCGGTTGTCTTCTATTCAGCTGCCATACTTATTGGAAGATGTGTAATTATTAACTGCAGATCCATTAGATGACATATGAGTGTCAGGCACTAAATGTGGTGTTCTACTTGAAATAGGTGGCAAAATAGGACTTGTTGGCCAATGGTATGTAGTAGCAGCAACATTATTGGATGAGGGAACACTTCTATGCAAAAAGCAGTTTGGTCTTTGAGATTTTTTTATTGTGGATTTGACGTTTGTTTTGATTTGATTTTTGTTTTGTTTTTTTGGTATTAAGAATGACATTAGACACGCACACACACACACAACATACATTTAATTGAATTTTAATTGTCCACAAAAAAAATAATTAATTAATTAAATTAAATTATTAACACGATTAGATGTTTACAACAAGAACAACAAGTTATTAATTAATTGAATTTTTTTTTGGTTTTTGTTTTGAGTTGAGTTTTTGATTAACGAAAGAATGAAAAAAAGGAATAAAAAAATACAAAAAATTTAGTTAAAAAAACGACATTGTTGTTGTTTCTGAATTGAATTCGATTAAAACATGGCTTGATTATTTACATTGACTTTAAGCATGATTTGGTGGCAGAGAGACAGAAAAAATAGAGAAAGAAGGCGGTGGTGGTGACGGGGTGACGGAAAAGATAGAGTGAAGGTGATCGTTTTTTTCGAAATATATAAATATGTACAAATGCTATGGATGATTGTTTTTTTCATTCAAATGAGGGATATTGGATTGGCGAAATGATATTATGGATTGGATTATTGATTGATTTCCTGAATGGCCTATTTTGATTTCACTTGTTTCTTTTGTAAATAATTTGGAACGATCTATGAAGCGGGAAAGTGAACAATTTTCACAATTGTTTTATCTCGGGGGATGGTGGAGATCTTTTTGAAAAGTGTGTTTTGATAACCTCAACAATCACATATAGAAAACCAGTAAGGAATGTAGTAAAGTCGGACGGGGCCGACTATATGATACCCTTCACCACTTTGGATATATTCAACAGATGAATCCTAACAGAAATGAAATTGGATCCATAAACATGTCATTCTGCAACCTATACTAAATAGAAGCTATATCTAAATCGGAACCGATTTTAACGATTTCAGGAAACATAAACCACCTAATTCATAACGCTGTGCCAAATTTCGTGCAAACCGAAAGATATATAGGGACTTTAGTGGATCATCATTTAGATCTGAACCGATTTACTCGAAACTTAACACACGTCATTCAAGACTCAATTCAGTACACTATGCAAAATCTCGTGTAAATCAAAAGATATATAGAGACTTCGGTGCACCATTTACATAAAATCGGACGAAACTATATACAAGAGCTATATCTTAATCTGAACCGATTTTCACGAAACTTAGCACACATCATTCTAGTCCTAATTCAATACACTGTGCGAAATTTCGTGCAAATAGAAATATATTAAGGGACGGACAAAAATATATGCGGGAGCTATATCTAAATCAGAACCGATTTTCACGAAACTTGGCAGACATCATTCTAGGCTCAATTCAGTACGTTATGCCAAATTTCGTGCAAATCGAAAGATATATAGGGACTTTGGGGCACCATTTACATGAAATGGGACGAAACTATATATGGGAGCTATATCTAAATCAGGACCGATTTTCACGAAACTTGGCAGACATCATTCTAGGCTCAATTCAGTACGTTATGCCAAATTTCGTGCAAATCGAAAGATATATAGGGACTTTTGTGCACCATTTACATGAAATCGGACGAAACTATATATGGGAGCTATATCTAAATCTGGACCGATTTTCACGAAACTTGGCAGACATCATTCTAGGCCTAAATGATTAGGCTGTACTAAATTTCGTGCAAATCGAAAGATATATAGGGACCGTTTACATGAAATCGGTTAAATATATATATGGGAGCTATATCTAAATCTGAACCGATTTTTCCCAACTTCAATAGGGTTCGTCCTTGGGCCGAATAAGTGACTTGTGCCAAATTTCATCCAAATCGGATCATAAATGCGACCTGTACTTTATTTACAATTTAACATGGACAGACGGACGGACGGACAGACGGACATGCGTAAATCGATTCAGAAAGTGAATCTATGCATATTCTCAAAAGGTACCATGGGTCTATCTCGATTATTGTTGCCTGTTACAAACATATGCACAAAGACATATTACCCTGTACCACAGTGTGGTGAAGGGTATAATGAAGTAACGTCGGCTTCCTACATTGACCTGCATTGAACATTATCTCACAGTACTGGTAAATCAAATCATGGACCTATATTGTACTTGTTCTGCAAATGAGTTTTTCATCCTCCAATAGCTTGGATTTACTATCCTTAATTCTCTGCGAAACAACAGACAAATTACAGTTTGGAAAATTTGGCTAAAACTTCGAAGAACCGGGGATGTCAAGTTAACGCTTCCACGGTTTTGAAAATTATCAAAAATACCCAAAATCGGCGGAGCCCTCATATAGAGGGCTATATCAAAACATGCATCTACCAAGGGGATATTTTTTCTCAGAGAAATTGAAATTCCAAATTACTGACAGAAAAATTATAGTATGAAAAAAGGTCTAGGACCTTAAAAATTGTTGCGTTCTTTATAGGGCCTAGCACCTAGGAGCATAAAAATATCTAAGGCTTATGTAATAAAAAAAAAATTATAGGTACACGAGTTGAGAATGCGCTCCATATTCAATAGGACGGGACCTTTATATGTAGTCAACAAGAAAAATGGATCCATATCTTTTCCCAATAGCTCGGAGTGTCAAATTACAGACATTTTGATCTGGAAAATGGCTATGTCGAAATATGAACCCATCATGAACCTGGAATACCAAATTATTGGAAATTGGAAAATACGGCTAATACCCTCAAAATACGGAAAATGAGGAGGATTCCTATTTGATATGCATGTATCGAAACATGTCTGTAATTAAGTTTTTAATCCTGCACGAAGCGAGAATAAGAAGTTACAGCTACTTTGGTGTGAAAATTCGTCTAAAACTTTTGAAATAACGACATTTTGGTGGGTCCCACATCGAAATAGTTCTGCAAAAATGTTTCTCATCATCCAATAACTGAAAAGCCAAATTGCAGGTACTTCGGCGGGAAATGCGGCTAAAACCAGCATAATATTGAAAATGAGGAGAATCCCTATTTAAATTACGGCCAGTGTCAAAACATGAACCAACATCGAGAATTATCGGCAAATATAGCATTTTTTTATTACAAGAATAGGTAATACTAAATTGTAATAATTTTATCTAGAGCGACTAGAAAATCTGAAAAAATAAAGTTTTCTGTTCATTGCACCCCCTAAATATAATCTCAACATCACCGAAAATTATAGGCATCGCCTTGAGTATAACCGAAACTTCGTGTAAAATTTCCAAGTGATCAGCGCTGCATTTCCACCATCTATTGGGGTAATAGTAATACTAAACCATATCATTACAAAATATACACCTTTGAATATTTATGTATAACTCCCACATCGGAGTACAGACAAACAATCCTCTTCGTATCAATTTAAAGGTCAATCACTCCTATTGGATATACTATCAACTTCTCAGATCTATGTCCTTTAGGAGTTTGGTTCATAAATGTCTGGGTCAATTTGACCCGCTAAATATTGACCGCCACCGAATATAAATTTTGTCATTTTCCACACAAAAGTCTGAGTCAATTTGACCCGCTAAATATTAACCGATCATCATAAAAATCTCTAGTAAAATTTCTTTGTGTTCGAGTCATAATTGTGACCTCTAGAGCGATCAGAAATACATACAAAAATAGAGTGTTTGGTCCATTTCATACCCTAAATATTAACGGATCATTACCAAAAACAATAGGGTTGGCCAGAACCCAAACTACATTCAAAATTTCGACTTAGCTAGACGAGATATGACGGTATTCTTAAAGGACCAATATTTCGCAGCGTTACAAATTCATGGGGCTGTACAAAGCTATAATACCCTGACAACATAGATGTGTAGGGTATAAAAAGAGACGCGACCTTTATATGAGAGGTTTGTCAATGCATGGACCTATATCGAAAAGTTTCAGCCAAAATATTTGTCAGCTTGGTAGAATCTGGACTGTCGAATTAATACCACTTTGGTGGGCTATAACAAAAACAAATGTTTCTCTATCTAATAGAACCCTGAATTACAAATTAATGCTTTCAGTTGGTAAGTGCGACTAAAACAAAAATTGGGGCGTATGAGCAATTGGGCTCATACGAACGGATCAATAATTCGTCACCTGTGACGATCTTATAAGCATCTCTTCCTACCACAAATTAATCAATATTGATCCACTTTGATAATAGCCCCTTTATAAGGATACATCATAAATGTCAAGATTTTTTTGTCATATTTATTAGTCATATTTTTAGGATACATTATCGGATATTTGGGGATTAACCTCATTGGCTCTCATTAGATGTGAAATCTTCCAACCAAAAATTAATCATGGCATAGCCTGCTATGGACTATGTCAAAGCATGGACCTATATAAAAATAGTTCGGCAACAATGTATCTTAATCTACGATAACCCTTAATAACAAATAAATGTCCTTTCAGTTGGAAGGTGTGACTAAAATCATCAAACCGTCGAAATTGGGGCGTATGAGCAATTGGGCTCATACGCATAAATCCATGATTCGCCACCTGTGACGAACTTATAAACATTTGGAGAAATTGCTACCAAAAATTAATCAATATTGATCCATTTTTGACGATAGCCCCTTTATAAGGGTACTTCATGCATGCCAAGATTTTATTGGACCACTTTTTTGGATAGCCTCCATATTATATTATCGGATATTTTGGGGATTAACCCGATTGGCTCTCATGTGAAATTTTCCTACCATAAATTTGCCTTGACATAGCCCGCCCAACTATTACAGGTATATGGAATGCCTACTTAATGTTATAGTTCGGCACGGTGATGCTTTGACAAACAATCCAGCCACATTTTAGATATTATGAATGCTGTAAAGATATTTACCAACCAAAGTATGTGTTTGGCTTTAATTGTGCAATGTGTCCATGTTGCTGTGCCGATCAGGCCCTTTTATACTCTTCACCACACTGTGGTACAGGGTATTATGTCTTTGTGCATATGTTTGTAACAGGCAAAAGGAAACAC